ATGTATGTATGTGTATGCATATATATATATATATATATATATATATATATATATATATATATATATATATGTAATATAAAGGCTATATATATATATATATATATATATATATATATATATATATATATATATGTAGCACCCTGCATTATTAGAAAAACTAAAAAAAAAAAAAATATTCATAGAAATATGATTTAATTTTTTTTTCGTTTTATTAACCAGTTGTTAGTTTTTTTAGACGAAGAATAATTGAATTTCGAGAATAATTCTCTAATTGTACTTAGGCGATCCTAAGGGAAGAAAAAAAAAGGAAGGAAAAGAAAAAGAAAAGAGGATGAGTAATGCAAAAGGCCGGTCATTAGCGAAAACAGGTGTCAAGAGGTATCTAGGCCAACGCGCCTGACCGAATTTCAAGTGACAATGGAGATTGTTATTTGGGAGAATAGAATTAAAGGTAATTAAAAGAAAGAAAGAAAACAGGCTTGGTAAAAGTGTGATGAACATATGTACGATTGATAAAATGTCGGTCAAAGCATCTGGCCTACTTTTGTGTAGAAGACTCATTATCAATTTGGAGAAATGGGATTTTTAGAACAATGGAAAACGAAATATTAATCGGAGAAAGGTGTCTTTTGGGATGAGAAGGTGACCGCTGGAATTGTGTACAGATTCTGACCTGTTAAAAATTAGAACCCCCACGATGATGAAGTGAAGACATTTTCAATTCAGATAATTAAGATTTTTGACTATCAGGTCTGAGCAAAACAAAGAGGTGAAACCAATTGTTCTTGGCTCACAGAAAGCGCCAGCGAGACGGAAAAAATTCTTCCTGAAGTCACATCTAATTAGCGGCGGGCTGTTTTGACAGAAACCAGGAAGGTGAGAAAGGCCGAGATTGTCATTTTTCGTGCGTGCGAAAAAGGCCAAATTAGATTTTGTTTTTTTAGCAAGGTGTTCTTTCCCAGAACAACGACGGGATAAGCCACGCCCGATTGGAGACGTCACGAAGTACGGGAGACGCCCAACCAGAATCTCATTAGCCGAAAGCGGTCACGTGATATGCGAGAAAGAGGAGAAAGGACGCTCGATCAAGACCCATTGGTCGAAAACGGTCACCTGACATATGAGAGACCGGGAGAGATGGGTATGCGCCTCCCCACCAGAGGCACTGTGAGGAAGTAGGGGAAAAATAAGAGCGATAATGGAAAATCAGAAATAATGCAACTTTTGGAATTATCGAGAAAACCCTGGCGCCGACAGACCCACCCCAGTTTGTTGCGGCGTCAATAAAAGCAGAACCCCAATCGACAGAGAGCTCAGTTCAGCCCCGGACGGCAGCGAGAAGGGTCCACCTCAGACGGCAGAGAGAAGAGTTGCAGGCCAGACAGGCAGTAAAGTTGCAGGCCAAACAAGCAGATCAGTTCAGCCCCGGACGGTAGAGAGCTCAGCTCAGCCCCGGACTACAGAGAGCTCAGTTCAGCCCCGGACGGCAGCGAGAAGGGTCCACCTCAGACGGCAGAGAGAAGAGTTGCAGGCCAGACAGGCAGTAAACTTGCAGGCCAAACAAGCAGATCAGTTCAGTCCCGGACGACAGAGAGCTAAGTTCAGCCCCGGACGACAGAGAGCTCAGATCACCTCAGACGGCAGAGAGAAGAGTTGCAGGACGGAAGAAGAAGAAGTTACTTGCAGTTATGCATAGAAGAAGTTGAAATCAAACCAAGCCCAAGAACAGAAATTCGTCTCAAACCAAATCGAAGTGAAGAAATACGTCCAACTCAAGCCGAAGAGAAGAATCAGCCGTGAACGACTGGTAGAGATTAGCGCCCAGTGTCAAAACTAAACCACACTCCGACACACAAAATTCTAGAGAGTAGGCAACTCAGAAGTCTTTAAGTTGTATGATAGAAGCTTGGTGCCACAGTCCACAAAGCGGGTCGGGAAGTAAGAATAATTTTTATGTAACGAACATTAGATATAAAAGGTTGTTACCCTTTTTTATCAGTAATTTTGGTCTCGTGAGTTTTTTTTCTTTTACTTGTGTTTTGCCACCCCGTGGAACTCAACTTGCATACGGCCCCAATCCCTGTTTGATCCCCTGTCTGTCTAAAGATCTAATCACAACGTGGTAGGCAGACCGGAGATCAGTACAGTTACCCTAGTAACCAGGTGTTGGAAGCGAGTTGGGAGAGGCGAGGCTGGTAATCATCTAACCAAGGGGTTGGAACGTCACACTTGGAACAGCGAAGAGCGACCAGGAGGAGCGACGTCACAGTTGGCGCCGTGACCAAAGGATTCAACCCTGGACCAAGTGCCGTCACATATATATATGATAAAAAAGTTTTAAACACTAATATTCCATGGTCATAATATATATATATATATATATATATATATATATATATATATATATATAATAAAAGGCTATTAATATATACATATATATATATATATATATATATATATATATATTATATGAATAAAAATGACAATAGGAAAACTGGTAATTGCTGACGCGTTTCGTCCAATGTGGACATTATCAAAGCAAAATACGAAAATGAAATTAAATTCATTTAATCGGAGAAATTTTCATATATATATATATAATAAAAATTATATATATATATATAATCATATATATATTATATATATATATATATATAATCATATATATAATAAAATTTTCATATATATATATATAATAAAAGGCTTAAACACTAATATTCCATGTTCATAATTTATTCCATTGGAATCGTAAATACGATCAATTCATCAGACCTACAAATATTTTAGATATTTGATTGCGTATGTATGTGTATATTTACCACTAATATTATATATATATATATATATATATATATATATATATATATATATATATATATAAATTACCAAGAGGTATTCCAGGTAGAAGTCAATGTCCTGGACAGAGTAAGAATATAACATAAACGGCTCAAACACTAATATTCCATGTTTATAATTTATTACATTGGAATCGTAATCACGATCCAATTCATTAGACCTACAAATTCAAAAAAAACATTTTTGTAGGCCTGATGAATTGGATCGCCGTTACGATTCAATGTAATAAATTATAATCATGGAATATTACTATTTAAACCTATTATATATATATATATAAACAACATATATATATATATATATATATATATATATATATATATATATATATATATATTAACACTTCGTCTGTTTATCTCTTTAGTGCTAATGAATCGAGAAACAGGACAAAGAAACATTACTTTCTTCATCGTTATAAATGTGAAATCAATTCAAAGTGTGAAGTCGAAAGTTTTCAACTCAGCCCGGACGGAATTGAGCCGACATTGGTCAATCGAGACTATTGATCACAAACTTCGACAACTAAACAAATAAACCCCATTCAATTAGGTTTGTGTCGCGGCCGGTCGATTACTTGAAGCCGGAATTTGATTCGAGCAGACTAAAAGACGGGACAACGTCTCTTAATATTTGAAGTGGTTGCAATTCGAAAAGCAAGCAAAGATAAAATAAAATAAGCCGTTCTTAGAAAGTAACTTTGGATTAGTCTCTTTTCGCAAAGAAATGGCAAACTCTAAACGAAGATTTTTCAGCCACTAACTCGATCACATTCTTTCTACGTGAGTGCAGTTACGTTTACTCCAAAAAGAATCTAACGGCCGGGGATTGGCTTTGAGCGAAACATTATTATACAGGATGTCCATAAAATTCGTGTGCACTTTAAAACATTTATAACTTTATTTGTATTTGCGATAGAAATAATCTGTAAAAAATGTTATAGAGTTTAATGTACTTAGTTTTAAGTATAGCTAAAGTAACTAATGTGATTTTATGCATTACTGTAAATCACTTGGCAATTTTTCCGTGAACTGCAAAATCGTATTACCCTTTGAATTGCTAATGATGGAGGACATGTGGAAACTTAAATAAAATTTCAATAAAACCTTAAAAAATATAGATTTACTTCTTTATAATCATTTTTAAAAATTATTTCTATCGCAAATACAAATAAAGTTATAATTTTTTTTAAGTACACACGAACTTTATGGACACACTGTATTTAAGAAACTGACATGTGAGAAAGAAATATTTGATAAACGATTGTAATATTTGATAAAAGTTGTAATATTGGCTTATGAAAGCCGATATAATTCAGACATTATATAATTTGTATTTAAACATTCAACGGAAACCTGGAAAATGGTTCGAAATATAGAAAACAAATGTTTAACAAAGAAATTTAGCTTGTCTTCAAATAACTTCGTATAAATGTAAAATGGCTGTGTGTGTCTCTCTCTATATATGTATATAGAACACCCTGTATATGCGCGGTACTTACTGGAAAGCACACAATATCAGTGATAGAGCTTATTTAGTTGGATTGATGTGAGCTTAAATGCGTGAAACCTAGGGTCACACTCACATCAATCCTATATGTAAAATATATAAATATAAAATATAATGGAAAGAGCATTTTGAAACTGTGTTAAACACCACTTCGGTTACTGATGTGGAAGCCATCACATCAATTGAGCAAAATCCTGAAATTCTGGAGTTGTCTTTTGAACCTACCTATCAAGAGGTAAGTGATTTCATCAAGTAAATCTCATCTGGAAAACCATCTACTCCTAAAGATCCTAATCCACCCGAAGTATATAAGCATGGTGGCCAAAAGTTGGTAGAAAAGTTACATCTCCTTTTCGTGGAGAATGGAAGGCAGGCTGTCCCACAGGATTACAAAGATGCCTCTATTAAACACCTCTACAAAAACAAGGTTTCCAGGTGTGTGTGTGTGATAATCATCGGGGGATATCACTATTTTCAATTGCAGGCAAAAACCTAGCTAGACTGATTCTAAACAGAATCATTATACACCTTGTTGACGACACCTTGAGGACAATCTGACATTTCAGACTAACAGATCAGCTTTACCCTTCAACCAGCGAATCCTTCTCCTACCAAATTTTGCCTATCAGGATGTGTGAATGGCAACTCTCTCTGTCTGTCTGTCTGTCTGTCTGTCTTCTCTCTCTCTCTCTCTCTCTCTCTCTCTCTCTCTCTGTTTTAGCACACCTACAGACAATAATGGGTATGTCCCCATTTCCATAAATACAGTAGTAATTACTGTATGTGTTGGTCTGCGGTCTGCAGTTAGAGATTCATTGTGGAATTCACTTGACACACTTCTAGCATCTGACTAGTTCTACGCGTCGCTGGCGAATCTTATATGTGTTATTCTTGTCCTAAGCAGTATCGTCATTACCAATCTTTGTTTAACTATACTATTCAATAACCTTCCCTAGGTTACGACTCTCTCTCTCTCTCTCTCTCTCTCTCTCTCTGAACAGCGTACATCCGATAAACGGCAGCTTGGCACTACTTCAAGCTTATCTGTGACTATAAATATAAACCTGTGACCGGAAATCTTCAACGTCCTATTTGTTGTTATTTGTTCCCAAATGTTTTCATTTTTTTTTTTTTTTATCTATTTAATCTCTTCTGGTAAAGTGGGTGGCTGCTTTGAAAATACCATTTTCGGGCTTTATTGCCGGCTCTAAAAGCACGAGACCCTTGAAGCCTAATATAAAACTCACTCACTACCCCCTTCTATGCGGATGCCATATTACTAGTGTCATAATCACTTCGAATACAGAGAATATATTCCATTTAAAGTAAGATGTGGCATATTTTCAGTCGGATTAGATTCTTGTAAAACAATAATGTTTTAACGTTGACCACTAATCGTTTGTATGAAGAAGAGCATATGGAATTGATTCCCCTGCCAACAGAAACGATTTATACATTTAAGCGAAGAAACAGAGTTGATTAACTGCACAAGTAAAATAAAAAGCAGATTCAATTTCAGAAGCACTTATACTATTCATTTCGCATTCACACACATACGCACGCACACATACTTACACAGATATACGTAGGGGTTTTCTAAGCATAGCTTAGATGTGGCAAACACATACATAGATACACATACATATATATAGTGATTTTGTAAATGTGACACATTCACACGCACACATAGATATAGTGATTTTCTAAGTGTAGCTTAGATGTGGCACATACATAGACACATACACTCATACACATACATACACACACACACACACACACACATATATATATATATATATATATATATATATATATATATATATATAATGATTTTATAATTAGAGCTAAGACGTGGCACACTCACACACACAGATATCGTGATTTTGTAACTATAGCTCCGATGTGTCACATACATATGCACACACACACACACACACACACACACACACACACACACACACACACACACACACACATATATATATATATATATATATATATATATATATATAGTAATTTCTAAGTGTAGCTTAGATGTGGCACATACATAGACACATACACTCATACACATACATACACACACACACACACACACATATATATATATATATATATATATATAATGATTTTATAATTAGAGCTAAGACGTGGCACACTCACACACACAGATATCGTGATTTTGTAACTATAGCTCCGATGTGTCACATACATATGCACACACACACACACTCACACACACACACACACACACATATATATATATATATATATATATATATAGTAATTTCTAAGTGTAGCTTAGATGTGGCACATACATACGCACATGCAACACGAACATAGAATAGGATTTTGTAAGTGTAGCTTAGATGTGGCACGCACATACATACATATATACATACACAAACACACATGCACATTGATATAGTGATTTTCTAAGGGTAGCTTAGATGTGTCACATACATACATACACTCATACACATACATATATATAATGATTTTCTAATTGTAGCTGAGACATGGTACATACATATATATGCGCACTCATAAACACACATATATATAGTGATTTTCTAAGTGTAATTTCGATGTGGCACATATACACACACACACATATATGTATATATATTGTAATTTTCTAAGCGTAGCTTAGATGTGGCACATACATAAATATATACATACATAAACACATACACTCATACACACTTATATAATGATTTTCTAGTGTAGCTTAGATGTGGCACATAGATAAATACATACATACACACACTCACACACCCACACACTCACACACACATATATATAATGATTTTCTAGGGGCAGCTTATTTGTGGCACATACGTACACACACTGTCGAACATGTATAGAGATTTTGTAAGTGTAGCTTAGATGTGGCACGTACAAAGATATATAGATACACAGACACATATGCACACATATATTTATAGTAATCTTCTGTAAATAGGTGACATGTAGCACATATATATACACACACGTATATATAGGGATTTTCAGTGTGGATTGACTGTAGGCTAAAGAGCAAAATACTTTTGTCGAAGTTATGCTTGGGATGTATTATTTTCGAACGAGTCTTTGTAAAATCAATAAGTAAAACTTATCAATCAATAGGTAAAAAATACATGCATAAACAAATGACTGGCCTATTGTTTAGCCAATCACCTCTAATGTCACCTCAAAAAAGACGGAACAAGATGAAGTGCAACGGACGCAGGTAATTATTCCTATGTAGAGAAATATAAGAAAACAGCAAAAATTCTCAAAGAGTATCAATTGAACCATCTAAATAATTCGAGAATTATTTATTAGACAAATTAAAATTTACTTGAAAATTTTATATGCCATAACTTTTGAGGATATAGGTAATTATGGCCATTTAATTTTTTCTTTACTTTAACACCCGTAAAAAGAATATTGCCAGCATTGCCTATGAGAAAAATATTGGATGAATGCAAAAGTACGTGCCCGGTTTTCATTGTTTTCAATTATCTAATCGGGTACGAACTTTTGCAATTATCTAATAATAGACTGGTTTCTATTTGGCTACCCTACGATTTTGCATTCAGAATTCTGTCCAATAGAGCGGCTGTTACCTAAGGCTAGTTAGCTCCGTTTGCGCTAATATTTAACCCATAGCTGTGGTGAGAAGAAGAGATGAATTCATTGGTTTATCAAGAACACTTACGGAAAGTGAACACTGCCCTAGCTACAATTTGAACGTGAATCTACCGCCTCTGTTTTCTCCCTTAATAGATTTAAAAGATTCACTCTTTCAGCAGTCATATTTATCAGATCTACTATCTTTTTTGTTACAACCGGCCCCGGAAGCATTGAAATCATAAGAGCAGTAAGCTTCTTTTTTTAAAATTATTTTTGTTACTGTGGTTGATTCATTTTATCTCTTATATTATTGTTGTCGTTACTTTTTATCACATTTTTTATTATTGTTGTTCTTCATATCTCTTTTGTTACTGTTTCTTTTTTTATCTCTTTTGTTAGTGTTGTTGTTTCTTTCTTTCACTTTTGTTTTTGTTGTTTCTTTTATCACTTTTGTTACTGCTGTTTCCTTTTTATATCTTTTGTTACAGTCGTTGTTTCTTTTTATCACTTTTGTTACTGTTGTTTCTTTTTTATCTCTTTTGTTAGTGTTGTTGTTTCTTTCTATCACTTTTGTTTCTGTTGTTTCTTTTTTATCTCTATTATTATTGTTGTTTCTTTTTATCACTTTTGTTACTGTTGTCTCTTTTTTATCTCTTTCTTTACTATTGTTGTTTCATTTTTATCATTTTTGTTACTGTTGTTTCTTTTTTATCTCTCTTGTTAGTGTTGTTGCTTCTTTCTATCACTTTTGTTATTGTTGTTTCTTTTATGACTTTTGTTACTGCTGTTTCCTTTTTATATCTCCTTGTTATAGTCGTTGTTTCTTTTTATGACCTTTGTTAATGTTATTTTTTATTACTTTTTTACTGTTGTGTCTTTTTTATTTCTTTTGTTACTCTAGTTGTTTCTTTTTATCACTTTTCTTATTGTTGTTTTTTCTATTTATCTCTTTTGTTAATGTTTCCCTTCCCTTTTTAATACATTTGTATTTGTTGTGCCTTTTTATCTCTTTTGTTACTGTTGTTTCTTTTTTATTAATTTTGCTGCTGTTGATTCTTTTTTTCTCTTTTGTTACTGCTGTTGTTCCATTTTTATCACTTATTATTGTTGTTTCTTTTTATCTCTTGTTACAGCTGTTTCTTTTTATCTCTTTTGTAACTGTTGTTACTTATCTTTATCCCTTTTGTTAGTGCCGTTGTTTCTTTTTATCAGTTTCGTTATTATTGTTGTTTCTTTTTATCACTTTTGTTATTGTTTTTATTCCTTTTTATCACTTGTTCCCAATCCAATATAGCTTATATATTCAATAGATTATACGATAAAAAGATCGATTTATCAATGAGGATATATTGTAAATTCCACACATGCATGTACGCAAAAGTACACACACTAAGATCCAAAAACTAGCACAAAAACACGCACGCACACAAACACACAGAGACAGAGAATTGCAGATACATGACTTCATGAATAAAAGCGTTAATCAAACAAAACTAGTTACGTCACTATCTTAAGATTGGTCGTCATCTTGGGTAGTACAGATTCTCATATCCATTCAGTTCAGTGGCACACGTGATACACGTTTTAGCGTACATGACTCTTTTCAATTTATGATTGACTAGGCAGAAGATTTTCCCACAGTAGTCTGCTGTTTCTTCCTGTTGTAGACTGTCTACCAATCAAGGTATACGGACCCAGCTTGTCCTGTTATTTAACGCATAGCTGGAAGGAGAAGAGACGGATTCATACGTTTCTCCGATTTCTCATTCCGAGCCGATAGCCATTGCACCAAGACGCACATCAATGACTAAATAAGTAATACGAGTTATCTCCCCTGATATGAACCACGATGCATATCAGGGACAAAATAAATGATACGAATTATCTCCCCTGATATGAGCTGCGGAATGTGAATCCCTATGAATTTTATAAAGCGTTTGGTTCAAATTTCCTTGATTACCAACAACGACAGACACCTGAAGACGACCGGTAAGTAGTAGGTCCTAAATGCTATGAGAATCCAAGGTGAAGATCCTCGAACAAGTAAACCGTGTATAAGGATTATTGTCATTGAGTACATGTTTATTATTAGTTTTTAAACAAATCCCTCTCAGATTCGAAGAAGGAAAATAAACAAATGAACCTTAACTGATATATTTAATCATAATAATATTTCCTCTTATTATCGATGACATAATTCTATCTATTTAACAAATTATTAATCTCGCCAGTTCAAAGGATTTTCACAATTCGAGGCAAAGGAACACTAAATATTAGGTATAACATCTTCACAGTTAATAAATAGTTTTCCCTCTAAACAAAATTGTAATGATCTGAAAAAATCAGAGTCAGATGAATTAATGTCAGTAGAGTAAGAAGGATGAGGTCAAAATATTTCCCAGTTAAATTTAAAAAGACGATTTGGAAAATGATCTGAAATGATCTGAAAAAGACGATAATCAGATGGAGCATGGCATAAGACGATAATCAGATGGAGCATGGCAAGGAGAGTAAGAAGGATGTGGTCAAATTATTTCCCAGTTAAATTTATTTTGCAATGATCTGAAAAGACGATAATCAGATGGAGCATGGCAAGGAGAGTAAGAAGGATGTGGTCAAATTATTTCCCAGTTAAATTTATTTTGCAATGATCTGAAAAGACGATAATCAGATGGAGCATGGCAAGGAGAGTAAGAAGGATCTGGTCAAATTATTTCCCAGTTAAATTTATTTTGCAATGATCTGAAAAAGACGATAATCAGATGGAGCATGGCAAGGAGAGTAAGAAGGATGGGGTCAAATTATTTCCCAGTTAAATTTATTTTGCAATGATCTGAAAAACGACGATAATCAGATCGAGCATTTTGCAATGATCTGGGCAAGGAGAGTAAGAAGGATGAGGTCAAATTATTTCCCAGTTAAATTTATTTTGCAATGATCTGAAAAGACGATAATCAGATGGAGCATGGCAAGGAGAGTAAGAAGGATGTGGTCAAATTATTTCCCAGTTAAATTTATTTTGCAATGATCTGAAAAGACGATAATCAGATGGAGCATGGCAAGGAGAGTAAGAAGGCTGTGGTCAAATTATTTCCCAGTTAAATTTATTTTGCAATGATCATAAAAGACGATAATCAGATGGAGCATGGCAAGGAGAGTAAGAAGGATGAGGTCAAATAATTTCCCAGTTAAATTTATTTTGCAATGATCTGAAAAGACGATAATCAGATGGAGCATGGCAAGGGAGAGTAAGAAGGATAATCAGATGGAGCATGGTCAAATTATTTCCCAGTTAAATTTATTTTGCAATTATCTGAAAAAGACGATAATCAGATGGAGCATGGCAAGGAGAGTAAGAATGATGTGGTCAAATTATTTCCCAGTTAAATTTATTTTGCAATGATCTGAAAAGACGATAATCAGATGGAGCATGGCAAGGAGAGTAAGAAGGATCTGGTCAAATTATTTCCCAGTTAAATTTATTTTGCAATGATCATAAAAGACGATAATCAGATGGAGCATGGCAAGGAGAGTAAGAAGGATCTGGTCAAATTATTTCCCAGTTAAATTTATTTTGCAATGATCTGAAACGACGATAATCAGATCGAGCAGGGCAAGGAGAGTAAGAAGGATGAGGTCAAATTATTTCCCAGTTAAATTTATTTTGCAATGATCTAAAAAGACGATAATCAGATGGAGCATGACAAGGAGAATAAGAAGGATGAGGTCAAATTATTTCCCAGTTAAATTTATTTTGCAATGATCTGAAAAGACGATAATCAGATGGAGCATGGCAAAATTATTTTGGAGATCTGAAAGACGAATCAGATGGATGGCAAAAGAATAAAGGATGGTCAAATTATTTCCCAGTTAAATTTATTTTGCAATGATCTGAAAAGACGATAATCAGATGGAGCATGGCAAGGAGAGTAAGAAGGATGTGGTCAAATTATTTCCCAGTTAAATTTATTTTGCAATGATCTGAAAAGACGATAATCAGATGGAGCATGGATGAGGTCAAGGAGAGTAAGAAGGATGAGGTCAAATTATTTCCCAGTTAAATTTATTTTGCAATGATCTGAAAAGACGATAATCAGATGGAGCATGGCAAGGAGAGGTAAGAAGGATGAGGTCAAATTAAGTTAAATTTATTTTTGATGAGACGATAATCAAATGGAGCATGGCAAGGATTTCCCCCAGTTAAATTTATTTTGCAATGATCATAAAGACGATAATCAGATGGAGCATGGCAAGGAGGATGTAAATTATTTCCCAGAAAAAGGATGAGGTCAAATTATTCCCCAGTTAAATTTATTTTGCAATGATCTGAAAAAGACGATAATCAGATGGAAAAGGAGAGTAAGATAATCAGATTATTTCCCAGTTAAATTTATTTTGCAATGATCTAAAAAGACGATAATCAGATGGAGCAAGAAGGATGTGGTCAAATTATTTCCCAGTTAAATTTATTTTGCAATGATCTGAAAAGACGATAATCAGATGGAGCATGGCAAGGAGAGTAAGAAGGATGTGGTCAAATTATTTCCCAGTTAAATTTATTTTTGCAATGATCTAAAAGACGATAATCAAATGGAGCATGGCAAGGAGAGTAAGAAGGATGAGGTCAAATTATTTCCCAAAATTTATTTGCAATGATCCGATAATCAGTTAAAATTATTTTTAAATTATTTTTATGATCTAAAAGACGATAATCAAATGGAGCATGGCAAAGAGAGTAAGAAGGATGTGGTCAAATTATTTCCCAGTTAAATTTATTTTGCAATGATCTAAAAAGACGATAATCAGATGGAGCATGGCAAGGAGAATAAGAAGGATGAGGTCAAATTATTTCCCAGTTAAATTTATTTTGCAATGATCTGAAAAGACGATAATCAGATGGAGCATGGCAAGGAGAGTAAGAAGGATGTGGTCAAATTATTTCCCAGTTAAATTTATTTGGCAATGATCTAAAAAGACGATAATCAGATGGAGCATGGCAAGGAGAGTAAGAAGGATGAGGTCAAATTATTTCCCAGTTAAATTATTTTGCAATGATCTGAAAAGACGATAATCAGATGGAGCATGGCAAGGAGAGTAAGAAGGATGTGGTCAAATTAAATTTATTTTGCACAAAAGACGAATTTATTTTAAGAAGGAATGATCTAAAAAATTTATAATCAGATGGATAATCATGGCAAGTAGAGTAAGAAGGATGTGGTCAAATTATTTCCCAGTTAAATTTATTTTGCAATGATCATAAAAGACGATAATCAGATGGAGCATGGCAAGGAGAGTAAGAAGGATGAGGTCAAATAATTTCCCAGTTAAATTTATTTTGCAATGATCTGAAAAGACGATAATCAGATGGAGCATGGCAAGGAGAGTAAGAAGGATGTGGTCAAATTATTTCCCAGTTAAATTTATTTTGCAATGATCTGAAAAGACGATAATCAGATGGAGCATGGCAAGGAGAGTAAGAATGATGTGGTCAAATTATTTCCCAGTTATTTCCCAATGTTAAATTTATTTTGCAATGATCTGAAAAAACGATAATCAGATGGAGCATGGCAAGGAGAGTAAGAAGGATCTGGTCAAATTATTTCCCAGTTAAATTTATTTTGCAATGATCATAAAAGACGATAATCAGATGGAGCATGGCAAGGAGAGTAAGAAGGATGGGGTCAAATTATTTCCCAGTTAAATTTATTTTGCAATGATCTGAAACGACGATAATCAGATCGAGCATGGCAAGGAGAGTAAGAAGGATGAGGTCAAATTATTTCCCAGTTAAATTTATTTTGCAATGATCTAAAAAGACGATAATCAGATGGAG